CTTGATTCATAGAAGGAATTGGGATAAGCATCAAAATTTGACCTCTAGCTTGCTCATAAGTCTTATTCAACCCCATCAGAAATTGCAATAACTTTTGTTTGTTCATGAAATCTACAAAACCTCGTGAACCTTCACAATTAAAATTAAGAAATTGAGCTAAGAAATCAAACTATGCCCAACGCAATAGCAACATCGTGAAATACTCAAAAATGCTACTTTTTCCTTGAGACAGAGTCACAATTTCTTTATGTAGTTGGAAGATCTTTAAACATAATCTCTCTTTAAGGGCATTCCATACTACACAAGCATCAGATGAATACACGATGTCAGTCAGCAATTCCTTTGAAACACAATGCATTATCTTTGAGAGCACTATTGCATTGCACCAATAGATCCTTCAGATTTGAAACAAAATTTTCTTTTCTGTATTTTCCATCGAGTAACCCCAACTTGTTTCGTCCAAGTATGGCAATTCTGATTGACTGACTCCACACAAAATAATTTTATGATCCAATCAATTGAATAGAAACTAAAATCACGCCAGATGTATCCAAAGTGTATACAATGAATGATTGTGACTCAATTTTTTAGGCAATTCATTATCAACTACAATTGTCATTGATTTTCCAGCTCTTCACATGTTTATGCACCTAATCTTGACCATATTAATGGCCGCAAAGCTCTGATACCATGAAACAAAACAGCAAATACAGATAACAACAATGTATGGAAAGGAAGTGCTAGAGAACAAAAAGAAATATCTTCATTTCTGGTAGAAGAGAAATCAGTACATGATGAATTGAATTACTTGGAGAATACACTACACGTTCTCAATTATATACACATCTAGTTTTGCTCCTACGACAGTTGTACACCATTAACTAACTAACATACTAACTAAATAAGTTAGGAATCTTCTACTGTTAACTAACTAATGTTAGCACTAATTATCAGTTACTCTGATTCAACTAAGTCACTACTCCAACTTCATCACTTTCACTAAAACATACATTCAACTTGAGTAAGTTGATTTGATTCCCTGCATTTTCTGGTTATACAACTGTATAATTTTTATAAAATTTTATTTATAAAAATATATGTTAGGTATGTGCTTAGCACGGGCTTGCCTTTCTAGTTATTAACTAAGAGAGGGTTAGATTGTCGAGTGCTAGGTAGAGCAATCAACGCTTTGCCACAACTAATTGACTTTTTGGAAACACTCTTACACTGATAGATTTATTAAAAAGAAAGAAATTAAAATTGGATTGCAATCGGAAAAATTAAAAAAACTTAACGTAGAAGATTTTGGTGGTTGCATTATTTATTGAATTACAAATTGCAATTGGATATCATTTTGTTCCATTAATGATTATAATATATAGGCGTGTGCATCAATCTGATTCAATTTTATGTATTATCGCTTCAGTTTATTGGCTTTCAGTTTTTAAATACTTTAAATCAATAATCAAACCAATAATATATTTTTTATTTGTTTTGATTTATCAATTTTGATCCTTAACAGTTCAGTTTTTGGTTTAACTAATAAGAAAATATTTATAAAACAAATATATGACTTCTCCAACAGTTTTGATGCGACAAGACAATAATGTAACTTTACAAATGCTCGGAAAGTAGAACCAGTAATAACTAACATGAAAAAAAACTGTACAAGTGTAACACAAATTAAGAAGAATTGGATTCTTACTTTACATTTTGACGTTTTGTATAATGTAAAGTTGTCATTGTAAAGTATTAATTAAAGGCTAAAGAGCAAAGGCACTAACCAATAAGGTACTGTGATTAATATTTAATATTTATGTATGGATAAAGTAGTAAATTACTACCGTTCTAATGGGTTATTGGTTTACTCAATAACTCAATATTAAAAAATCAAACCCGAATTGATAGTCAGATAAATTTTTTTATATAAAACCATTAAAAAACGTTACCCCAATATTCCAATAACAAAAAATCAATAGCACTTTCTCGATTTAATTTATCGATCAGTTCAATTCTTACACACCCCTAAATATATACAATAATATTGTATCTATTGTATTGTTATTTCTAGGGGTGTACAAGTCAAATCAAACCGACAAACCAAGTCAAACTGGAAAAAATTGATTTGTGATTTGGTTTGGTTGGTTTGGCGTTGAAAAAAAATGACCACTCTTGGTTTGATTTGGTATTAAAAGGAAAAAAGTCAAACCGAACCCAAATCAAACCGACATAATATAGTATTTTTTATTTTATTTTATAGATAAAAAAATATTAATTATAATCTATTTTGTTAATATATTTTTAATTAGTTTATAGTTTCAATGTTTAGATATGTTATTTCAAATTTAGGCTTGTATACTTTTGTAAATAATTTATTTTGTATTTAGATCGAAGTTACAATTATACTATTATAATTTTTCAGATTCGAAGTTAACTATCTACTTTGTAAATATTTTGTTTTGTATTCAGTTTGACTATAACCTTTAATCTTATAAATTTAAAATAATGAACATTGATATTTCAATAAAATTATTTTGTACTCGTGTGAATTTTACCGATTTTTTTAAAGATTTATATTCATTTAACATTTTATAATATGTGGCAAAATTTTAAGTCATTTTGCTGCCCTTATCCACCATTCCACGTGAAGGTGGCGGAGCCCACATAATCCAAATTATTTTAATCTAATTATGTTTGTACTTTGATATTAGCCAGATATTAATTTTTTAAATATATCATAACTAGGTAATTTGTCTGCGCTTTGTGCGGTCATAAATAATAATTGTATTAAACTTGCAAATAATCATTTAATAATATCCATACATTAAAAATAATGGATAAAATAGGTTCTTAAAAAAATATTAGCAATATTCTGTAATGAACTCATATTGTATTCAAATGGATAATTGAAATTACAGGTACAATTATAAGAGTTCATCATTCTCAAACTAGTAACCAATCCTTCCAAAGGAAGAAGTAGAAATAAAAAGGAAGAATGGGGGAGGTTCCAGATTAACCTAAGAAACTAAGAAATAAGAGATAAGTTCATAGCATAACCCTAATTGAGTATTTCCCTCTTATATATATAGGAATCTTCCTAGGGCCCCAAATATAATTTGACATCTTCTCACATAGGTCCTCCAGCTAAGTTATATTCATAACATATTCCAACATAAATTTGATTATTTGGCATTATTACATAACTCAAGAACCTCTAATGAATGAATTATTCAGAAAATAATAAATCATTGGTTCTTTAAAAAACATTTAAAGGAAAATAAAGAAGAAAATAAGAATATATATACAAAGGCATTTCGTAAGAAAAAGAACACATTTATTTAAGTTGCATAGATTATACAATTGTGATAAATGTCTCAGGAAAAAAATCAAAAATTTGTTAACAGGTTCAAAAAAAAATTACACTTGAATATGAAAGCAATTATAACTTTTGAACTTACATAATTAATCTTTTCAATTGATAAGTGAAAAACTTCATATCTATGTAAAAATAGATAATATGTAAGCATATATGTAGTACTTTTAAGTTATAGAATTTTATATAGAATATCAAAACATGAACTTTGAAACTGAGTACAATAATTCTTTTCTACACAATGAATATACCTACTATATGTGTATATGTTCAATATAATCGGAGACAATAATTATGCAGAAACATAAACAACAAAGTTTAAAACATGTACTCAAAAATAACAATTAATATCATAAGCATAAATTAATGACTGTAAAAAAAACATACCAGGATATGTAAAAATAGAATGAAATAGAAAGGAATAAATCGAGTCCACTGAATGCACATTGTCCCCTTAAGAAAATTATTCCCCTCTAATGCCTGAGGTTTAAAGAATTAGATCCTCTCAGGATGGAATGATTTTATTCACCAACGTATTGATACAAAAATAATGGTGTCAGTATGCCACTCAACAGGAGCAAAGTACACGAATATTTAATTGTGCATAAAAAGAAGAAGGAATTCTGAAATTTCGTTGTTTTAAAATGAGAGGAAATCCCTCAATTTATAGACAACAAAGGATAGTGTGAAGAAATGTCTATTGTGCCTTATCGGAAAGATCACAACTCTTTGGAAAAGTCAGGAAAAGTCACAACCCTTCGAAAAGGTCACGACCTTTCATAAACGTCACAACATTGCGTAAAAGTTGCAATTCTTCATAAAAGTCGCAACTTTTCATAAAAGTCACAACTTTTCATGAAAGTCATAATTTTCCATAAAGGGGAAGGCTAGTTTTGGAAATAAATAAATTAAAAGGGAATCCTTGTTTGTGGTGGCGCCACGTAGGCGGGCTTAGGGTTCTTTCATATATATATATATATATATTATCTTTCATTAGGATATTCATAATTGATATAACTCTTATAAAAATAAATGTATCTATATATACAATATAATCAAAGAATTTTTCAATGAAAATTTAAGAAATTTTTAGAAGCAATAAAAATATTTTTATTACTGGAATTTTAATTTATAACTGATTTTCTATAAAATTTCTAAATTTAGGCTCGTATGCCCTTTAACACTAGAAATACCCTTTAGCAGTTATATATAACTTTTTCAATTTTAATTTGTTTATCTTTTTAATATATTATGTATTAAAAAGGAGTATTTATAAATATATTTAATATTTCACTCCCTCCGTCCACTTTATGTTTATGTCCGTTTTTCGAAAGTTGATTTGATTAATTTTTAAAATTAAATTAAATTACGTTAATTTGATATTTTAAGTAAAAAAATCAGATATTTAAAAATTATACAAAAAATACAATAAATCATAACTTTTTTTTATATATTAATATGATAAGAAAATACATTATAAAATATTAATTAAATTCTTATAAGACTCTAAAAAAAGAAACTAGGACAAATAGAAGTGGACGATTGTAAACCAATTTGCCCTTCCTTATCATTTTACTACTTATATATATAGAAAGAATGGTGGTACGACATGTACGCCGACGGGTCAATGTCGGAAATATCCTTACAGGGATTCTCCGGCAACCAGCCAGCAGTTTTCCCGGAATCCTCACAGGGAGTCGCCGGTGACCAGCCAGCAGTTTTTTCAGCATCCTTACAGGGAGTCTCCGACAACGCCGATCTTTTATCGGAGATTCTCCTCCGGCTACCTCCAAAATCCCTTCTCCGATTCCAAGCCGTTTGTAAAGACTGGTTTTCGATCATCTCAAGCCGTACATTCCGGCAACTTCACTGCCGGAGAAAACTCACTTCCGGCAGAGTTGACGGACTATTCTTCTGCTGGTGGGTCTATGGTAATAACTATGTTGACTTTATCCCTCTCAATGGGATACCCAAAAAGCAAATGGGTATGATTCCTTCAGCACTCAAAAATATTGCTAATTCTACATCTTCAAAAATTGAACAATTACATTCCTGTAATGGGTTGTTCTGTATAAGTTTCAATTTGGGTATTGAAAATCTTGATTATTATGTCTATAATCCTAGTACAAATCAGCATAGATTGATTCCACTCCCATATTTAGGTATAAAAGCTTATGAGATTGTTGTAATGAATTTGGCTTTTGATCCTATGGTATCTGATTGTTATAAACTAGTATGTGTGATAAAATTAAATGGGGTATATGAAATTTCTGTATATTCATCAGAAACTGAAGTTTGGAGAGATTGTATGGAGATGGAGATGGAGATGTTGAATCAACATTGTTTAGGTCACGGTGTTTTCTTGAATGGTTGTATGCATTGGGTTAGTGAAATGTCGTCTTTCTTAAGGTTCGATTTGGATTTGATGTGTTTTAGAGATATGCCTAGTACTGATATTCCTGTTGGAGTGTTGAAAAGGAGTATAAGGTATTTTGGGGAGTCGGGTGGACATTTGCATCTAATTGAGGTACATGGGTTCAGGTCGATGAGTTTTGAAGTTCTTGAGATGGAGATTGATTATTCTAAGTGGTTTGTGAAGTATTGTGTTGATCTTAGTTCGTTGCATACTACTTATCCGTTAATGTTGAGTGAAGAACTTGATTTACTAGATGTGAATGGTCGTACTTGCAATGTTGTATCTTTGGTTGTCAATGATAAGGAAGATAGAACAAGGTTTTTGGTAACCACACCTGATGTTATCATTGAATATGATGCTCATCATATGACTATCAAGGAGGTTGCGTATATAGAGATAGCAAAGATCCCTGTTATCTGGGAAGATGTTTCGGTGTTTGAATGGTATGATACACATCAATATGTTGAGACAATGGCGCGTGTTTGATATTGCTATGGTTTCTTGTATATACGTTTGTTTACTTAAAGAAAGGAAGTGGTGATGGATGAACCATATTCATGTACGTGATCATGGTCACTCTGACTCATCATTGAAGACGCGTGCTTATGATGTTTGTGGTTTATTTGCTGGAAAGAAATCTTGTTTTTTTTGCATAGACTTCATCAGAGAATTGTATTTGTGCGGTTTGACTTCATCTGTAGTTGCTTTCTTCATTTGTAAATGTTTTGTAAAATTACTAGTTTCCCATGGATGTAATTGTCGTGTAAACGACTTGTTGTACATTGACAATTCAAGGTGGATGATATATATGATTTTATGATTTGGTGTGCTGCATATTCTGGGAGTTATTTTCTTTGATTGTTCTTGATCTCGTTACAATTTCAACTATATCGATTTTCAGATAAATAAATTAACACTCATCGTGAGGCCAAAACAGTCATGAGATGGTTTAACTCAGTGTTCTACTTACTCACTTGCTTAGATTTGTTTATTTTTCATAAATAACTTATAACAATCGTGAATAACAACGATGAAAATATGGCACAAGGGTTACTTCCTATTGTTATATTATCCAGGACCAACATTTCGTCATGAGGAACACTTCACCATTGTTGATTAATGCAAAAAAAAAATGTCAAAATGATACAATGGAACCCCACTTGAGGTATTTAAAATGAACAAGATTTACTTAAGATATCACCATAAGATAACTTTAGGGAGTTATCGACTATTATATTTTACAATACAGTTAAAAACTGCCAACCAAGGACAAATAATCCCTGCAAATTCAGGCCGTACCAAGCTACCCTATAGACATGATTGTTGAGTTAGATATTATTGTGCGTTCATCAATTTGTCTGGCTTATGAATTACGTATGGCTATGAGCATTGCCAACAAAGTACAAAATGTGGCGGCCAAACACATATACAGCCCCTCTAACATGTCCATATTTTTCATTTTGGCACTTTATCTTAGCCTTGTTTCATTTTAAGCCTTGAACTCCATTTTTTATGTTCCATTTTAACACAAAATACTATTTTTATGATTTATTTATTTTTATATATATCTTCAATTGCAACTTCTTATTTTAAATCGACATGTGTCATTTAATTTTAGTTAAAAAATTAAAAATTAACAAAAAATAATTCTTTTTAAAAAATAATAATTTCTTTTTAAGAGTGTTATGTATTTTTGTGTGAAAAATAACCGACGAAATTGTGTTGGTTTTCTTTCTTTAAAATCACTGACAACCTAACAAAGTCAGTCGAGTTTTAACATTGTTTAGTAGTGTTATTAGCAATGAACAAGAGTCTTTTTTTAGTAGTGTTATTAACTAAGTCAATCGAGTCTTTTTGAAGATGGGTTTTTTTATTCGTATTGATTTAT